CGTGTGCTTCAGGCCGCGTGTAGAGCCCCGAACAGGGAAATCAATCGATAGCCGACGAATCGACGATCGAAAACGTTGGTAACGTTTTCAATCGTCGATTTTAATCGACTAAATCGATTAACTGTTGCAGCTCTAATGTGGTGTTTAATACAGTGACCTCTGTACACCATCGAGATGAGAAAAGGTCCACAGGCAGCTGCTGACTGATGTCATAGTCCATTCAGAGTACTCTTATATTGAAAGGTTTATGCAACAACGGGGATATACTCCAAGACAGAATAATGGAAAAGTTGGTGGAGAAATTCAGGAGCAAGTTTCATCTGAATCCAGATATAGATTTAAAGATTGTATATAGTGGCAGTTACAGTGTTCTCCTCATGGGGAATGGAGGATAGTAAGAGGTTTGTCCATAATTGGACCATGATTGTCCAACTTGTTTGTTGGGTAAATATGATGTACATTCAATGACCGTCTCATTCCCTTTTCTCTAGAAAAAAGGTGTGGGTCTGTGATTATGTATTTGTATATAGAGAATACATAATCACACACACTGTATGGCTAAAAGTTTTTTAAGGTTTGAGGACACCTGACCGTCCTGCCTGTATGAGCTTGATGGACATTACCATGGATTCCTCCACTCTTCTGAGACCACCTGCCACAAACGATTGATGTTTGTCTGTGTTGAATGTGTGCTTATTGATTTCAAAGAACATTGTAAGGTCAGGTACTGATGTTGGATAAGAAGACCTGGCTCGCGGTTGGCATTTCTGTTCATCCCAAAGGTGTTCCGTAGGGTCAGAATTTCTGCTCTGTGCAGGCCACTTGACTTCCGCCACACCAAACTCCTTAAACCATGTCTTGGACCTGACAATAACTTGGCACATACTTTTGTCCATATAGTGTGTGAGTGTTCATATATGTATTTTCTTCAAATGAAAAAAAAGAACATAGTGGAACTCCAAGTAAACCTATAAATACACCGTTAAAATATATGCGGCACATCTGTTTCTGTGATGCACGTCTCTGCTAAATTGTGAAATAACTCTGCTACTATCTGGTTAAGAGAACTATGGGGTAAGTGTTTTCCCCATAGTTCTCTTTAGGGTAACGGGAGAAGATATACTAACCTCCTCCCGTGACCCAAAGCTCAGTATATAGTGGGCTATTGCCCGCAATATACTGAGAGCCCCGCAGCCGGGACGGATCACGACATTACTATGGAGATCCACCCAGCTGCGTGAGTGACAGCGGGCTCTGCCTATCTAGGTAGAGCCATCTGTGCCCGCTCTCTCCCCCGTTCGTTCCTCCACTCAGCGCTGGAGGATCGGAGAGGGGAGGGGTGAATCCCGGTGGGGAGCGGTGACTGACAGTCGCCTCTCACTGCAGGGAGATGATCGAAGTGTGCGGTTCGGTGCATGTTTCTGCTCACTTCCCAATCAATAGAACCGACTTGTGACAGCTTCTTTGTCATATGTCGGCTCTAACCATGAGGATGAGTGGAAATCGCTCACCTAATAGTTCTCCTTTTAAGCAGTACTTTCCTACAGCAGCTTCTTGCTCACTTTCATTTCATGAGTACCGACTCCCTGTCCAAAAACAATGCTTGATGCGGGTGACATGGGAAGCTATACAACTGAACCAAGAAATTAAAATTTAGTACATTTCTCATATGTCTGGGTATGTTGTGTGGAAAACTAAGTTTGGCTATACAATATAACAAATAATACACTTCGCATGTGAAACCATATTTTAACTTTTGTATTTAGCATTTTGACTGGAGTTACACTTTGAATGTTAATGAAGTACTGCTACTATTATCGAAATGATCCCATGCACACTAGAAATAAGAATAAAAATGGCAAGTGTCTGCACTATAAGCCAAGCAAACTAATGCATGCCACAGTGGTGCTATACTAACATGTTTCAACCACTATGGCTGAATGGGGAGCAGTTTAGGAAGGTGTGACCTGCCAGCCTTGAACTGAATTCTCACGCTTTGTCAATGGCCTGACAGGTATGTGTGAATCATGAGAGCACTTGAAAAAGTTATAAATATTTTAGCAGATTTAGGCCATTTTTATGTATTGCAGCTCTATATTTAGAAACCACAAATACATTGGCTTTTAAAAGGTGTTACAGTTCAGTTGCACTTGAATTTCTTTATTATTGCAGCATAAATGAGTGTGCTGATATTTAGTAACTTTCTGCAGTAAAGGGCATACAATGAAAATACTGTACTATTGTTAGCAGCATCTGGGTCAATTTCAGCAGTACTTCTCTATTTTACTGTCCATGAAGTCATTCTTATTATCTCATTTTGGTCTATCTCTTCTTTCTTTCTAGTGAAATATTTATCTATGAGTCTTGGAGAAACACCAGAGGAAGGAGCATTTTGATCGCCAGCAGGGATTTCATTCTGCACATTGCGTTATAAATACATTCCAACATGTTCAACTTGATGAAAAAGGATAAAGAGAAGGATGGAATCAAAAAGGAGAAAAAGAAAGAAAAGAAAGAGAGGATGTCAGCCGCAGAGCTGAAGAGTCTGGAAGAGATGAGCATGAGGAGAGGATTTTTTAACCTTAATCGTTCATCTAAACGGGACTCAAAAGCCAAACTGGAAATATCTAATCCTATACCCATTAAGGTAGCTAGCAGTTCTGAGCTTAACCTTACGGACATTGACTCGGATAATGTCAGCAATAGAGGAAGCGCCCTCTATGATTCTGAACACCTCAGCACTGCTAGCTCCAGTGATGACCTAAAGACCGAAGAAAACAACTTTAAGGGTAGTGTGCTTCAGCGTGCTGCTAAATTTGGTTCCCTGGCTAAACAGAATTCTACTTCTGGAATGGCACAAATGGTCAAAAGATTCTCCTTCTCCCAAAAGAGCAAAGATGAAAGTCTGTCTGAAACCTCCACACCTTCAGAGAATTCTGCTGCTCCTTCTCCGCAGGTTGAAATCAGAGCATTTGATACACAGCTCAGTCAACACTCTGTGCCTTCAGTGCAGGTGACCCCATCAGATGATGGTCCAAACGTCAAAATCCCAGAAGTTGTGGGGAAAACCTTCCCAGCTGATTTGAGGCTGCCCTCTGTACTCCCACCTCAGGCACCGGTACCTAGAGAACTGGAGCTTCAGAGGAGAAACACTGGAGATTTTGGCTTTTCGCTACGTAGGACAACTATGCTTGATAGGGCACCTGATGGGCAAGTGTATAGGAAAGTTGTCCACTTTGCAGAGCCAGGTGCTGGCACAAAAGACCTTGCTTTGGGTTTGGTTCCCGGTGACCGACTGGTGGAAATAAATGGTCGGAATGTGGAGAATAAATCTAGAGATGAAATTGTGGAGATGATCCGCCAGTCTGGAGATACAGTCAGGCTGAAGGTTCAGCCCATTCCTGAATTGAGTGAGCTGAGCAGAAGCTGGTTGAGGAGCAGTAAAGGTCTACCAAAAGAGGCTAGTGAAGTAAGTCTAATATTACTAGGCTTTTGTAATTCTTTGTTTTGTTGACATTTGGAGATGTCCTCAGGTGTTCCAAGGTAATTCATTCGCTATGATAACCCTGCTGAGAACCTCTTACTAACCCTTTCCTCTTACTACTACTACTACGGCATCAGTAGACTAAGTACATGCTTGTCAATTACATGTGTTTAAACTTTATATTATGTGACCGTTTCACACAAATGTGCCTAGTTTAAATCTGGTTGTGGTCTGAATCATTGGTTAAATATAATGGATTACCACTAAAAAGCATGACTTCTATCTATGTGTCTACTCTATAACTTTGCAGATGGAACACTGTTCTAGTGATGCCTTGACCATGTGCTAGGGCTTCTCACCCACGTGCATTCTGGGTCGAAATATGTTAATTACAGCTTGTGTTGTTTTGTTAAAATACAGATTTGTAAACACTTTTGTAAATGGTTAAACGCTTGCTAAAAGAAATGTGTATACATGATGCCTGTAAGCACCTTGTGACCACAGTAGTCCATTGGCTTTGCTGGCTGTTCCCTGACCAATACAATTTGTTCCTCCCAAACAGGCTTGTGTCTGAATGTGTCTGGTAACTGCACAGACCTGTACATCTCTGTAGTATGAATTTCTATGAACTAATTTGTTAAGAATGATTGATTATTTATTGATGTATGCACACATGATCGAACTTCTGTTCGATCACAGTGAACTTCTGTCTAGTGTCTATGGCCTTCAGAAAATGTTCAAGAAACACGAGAGTTGTACTCTGATTTGTAACATGATTGGCTGCAATAACTTATGGTTCTTCATTCGTTTTTCTTGATTTTATATGTTACAAAAAAAATATTTATTTTACAATTTTGCCTGTTATATTTAAGCATTCACATGAAATAGGCAACACAAAAGACGATTCCCAGTCTTCTGATGTTTCGATAGAAGCACTGTCCAGTAGTGTTGAAGGCTATTTAATATATGTAACCATGTATATGTCTCAGAAGTGGTATAAAGTAATTGTGATATATTTGGTCCTTTTTGCATTACAGTATGTATAGTTTAGATCCTTGATTCTCAACTGGTGGGTTGTGACCCAAAAGTGGGTCGCGACCCTGTGTTCAGTTGTGTCTGTGGTTGTGTATGTATGTCAGTGTTTTTGAGGGCCCCTTTCACAATGGTACAGTGCGATAATCTCCTGTACCACGCAATCGCACCTGCCATGCATTCTGGTGTGGGATGTGTGTTGCAATGCTATTCATTTGAATGGTACCCCAAGCGCACCTCCCACCAACAGTGTACACCCGCACTGGAACGCGCGGTATCTTAATGCCATGCGCTCCATTGCAGTGCGACTTGGGTTGTGACTTAATAACCAAGGACAAATGTGGGTCCTGAGGTTACACAAGTTGAGAACCACTAGTTTAGATCATGCCTGTAAAATACTGCCAAAGTGCAAAGGATCATAAAGACTATGCTGAACAACAATAAAGCTGCAATTGTTAATTTCTTAACATAATACGATGTATGTTGTTTTAGGAGTATTGTTACCTATGTGTTTTGTTGTACAATCTGGCTTGGTGAGGTGCAAGATTACAAAGATAGATCTCTTGAGGGTACAATTATTGTCATGAAAGTTCAACACAATCGATACAGATGTAGAGAGTTCCATCAATGTAATGTAGTGAATACATTTCCAGTATTTCAAGGCTACTGATCTAAAGCAAGTAATCTCATCTGTAGACAAAGCTTCTGTCATTGAGAACCATTTTATGTTTGTTTCTTCATCTGTGAGTGTGCGAGACAGTCAACTAACGGATGAGGTTAGGAATGGGTGTCATCTGCATTGCACTCGCACGATAAGCAAAAGGTAAAGGAGTTAGAGATAACAGGATAAGGGAGAGGTACAGATTAAAGAATGGTAAAAGGGGGGCGGGGTTTGGAAAAGGGAGGGATGTTCTTCCCAGCATGGTGGTTTTTGGTTATTTCCTAATTCTTGGTTCAGCTTTGCAGCTTCCAGTGTTCACTTTCTGCCTCCAAGCCTGCTCATTAGACAATGAATCACCACCTTCTCTGTCCAATGAGCAGGCAAATGACCCAGGAAGCTGTAAAACTGAGATAGGAAATGGTAGGATCCTTTTCTGTGGCAGAGGTGTGTGTGTATGTGTTCTCTTTCAATCCTGGCTGAACAGAATTACAAATTCTTTGTGAGATAAAACCTTTCACAATTATGTATTTAAAAGAGAACGTTGGGGTAACCTTTTTATCCCATAGTTCTCTTTGGGTCACGGGAGGACATATACTAACGTCCTCCCGTGACCCAAAGCTCAGTATATAGCAAGCTATTGCAGGGAGATGAATGGGAAGTGAGCGAGCGACGATATGTGTTCTCTCACTTTCATGATCAATAGAGCCGACGTGTGACAGTTTCAGTGTCACACGCCGGCTCTAACTATGAGGATGAGTGTAAATCACTCACCTCATAGTTCTCCTTTTAAACAATCTGGGTATAGATATATGTATTTAACTGGTTGCCTACATGTCAAAATGATCGGTAGCTTCCATGTTGGTTCTTTAATTTGATACCAATGCAAACCTTTTTTTTGTACAAATTTTTTCATGATGTGCTTTATTTCAAATGCCCACCTTGGTAACGGGTGTAGCGCTCATCCCCGAACGAGCCGCTGGAATAAACGTGTCTTCCTTAGCCTGTCTAGGAATTTTAGCAACCTGGCTGCCCCAATAGCACTTGCTACCCCAATAGCACTTACCGAACGGCTAAGCAGTACTTGAATCAGAAGTCACCAATCAGACTCTCCAGTTTCAGCAGAGGCTCACTTCTCAGGTTCCCCATGCCTGTTGAAGTTGCTCTGTGATCTTCATCCTCCATATCAGCCACTGGGCCCCCAGACTCAGGCCTCTGTGTGAGCACATGGCTAGTTTCCTAGGCTTCTGGCCTAGTCAAATCAGACAGTCCATAGCAGCCTTCCCCCAGGCAGGACACGGTGGAGAAAGAAGCTCATAGTCAGCCCTGAATATGTCCTCTCCCAGCATGCACCACTAGCCATGAACCTCCTAGTGATTGGCCAGGGAGACATAGACATTCAATAACAATCTCTCTTATTGGTTGCTCTGCTCTGGAGCAAAGATGCAGCAGGCAGATGCCAACCCTTAACAGATTGCTTAGGGGGAACCAAATGAGCATAAACTATTAGATCAGCATCAGACTGATTTACAATCTGACAACTTAATTTAAATAAGCACTCCTGCTTACAGGGTGCTGCACTAGTAACTTCCCAAATTGGTATCCCCTAAAGGAGAATTGTGTTTGATAGCAAGTCACCACAAGCCGTAAGAACAGTATAAACATCAACATCGGGAACATTCGGCAGTGCAGTTTTCCTGATTCATGGCTGACACGTGTAAATAAGATCCTTCCTTTCAGTTTCTACAGCAGAAGGGTGAGATTGTGGTTCCTGACTCATCATGAGTTCCCTTTTCAAATTCCAATATGTCAACCACACACCAGTAAACACCTCTCCCCCCAGTTACTGCTGGAGTTTTACATTAAAATAACAAAAGTAGCATAGTCCAAAATAAAAACAATACGCACAACTGAAAAACTGAATATAAGGCAAAGTGTTTGAAGAATTTTAGTGCCTACTTTCTAGATGGAATAAATGTTGGGATCCATAGGATAATCTGGATTTGTATGTGACCAATTGTACAACCTGATAACCCTTTTCAGTTCTGTTTTTTGTGTCCAACATCCAGCTGATGCATGCAACCAGCTCTGCAATTCAGCTGAGAACTGGAACTGATCATTGTCCTCTTACAATACACAAAACAGCTTCTGCAGGTTGAAGCTCTGATTACACTATAGAGATAGTAAAGCTTTGACTGCCAGAACCCAAGTTATTACCAGACAGAAATAGAACAGCTCTGATTCTCTGTTCTTCACGTTTCTGGAGTTTCCAGCAAGTCAGACTTGGGGAAAGCTGAGATATTGTGCTGTATTTTTCCATATCCACTGGGAAATGTTGTGGTTACCTTTTATGTCAGTCATATGGTCAGTAACAATGTGACCAAGAAGAATACTGAACAAAATGTGTTATGGGTTGTGTTGTCTGCTTTTGTCTTAAAGTGAACCTGTACTTTAACTATTCAGGACATAAAGGTTTTATGGATAACCCGATCCGATGCCGTACCTCCCCACCTCCAATCGCTTGCTAGAGTCACATGGCATTTATTTGTTTGAGCAACTAGTCATCAGGCCCAAGTGCTATCACAAGGGGGGCAATGGAAGGGTTCTTACCCCTGTGTATACTGCAACCCAAAGCCATCATGCAACTGACCATTTGGTTCTGATGGTTGAATGGGGTAGCAAGGGAGTGAATGGAAAGTAAGCATCTTCAGCAGGAGCTGCAGGCTATCAAGCAAACATGCTTGTCCAGTTAGGGGAATGTACAGTTGGCCCATCTAATGATGGTTTTATTTTGGATGCTTGTAACAACCTTTTTCTTGTGGGCACTTCAGCGGTGTGAGGATGTTTTGTATTAATGATAATTTAACGCTTTTTTTCCTAGAGCATGAGGAACGAAATTCAAGCATGGGCAGAAGCTGGGAACTAAGTCAATCCCGTTATTTTTTGCCACCAGATTCTCCGAGATATCATAGGCTTGTTTCATAGCCCATTTAAGTTCAACTCCAAAGGGATACTTGTCCAAAAGTGTGTATATTTTAAGGGAAACCTATCAAGAGTGTGCAGACTGCTGTGGGCTACCATCCTGACCCTCTTTTGTCAGTAATTTGAGTCACTGACCCAAATAAGCATAGAGATGGAGACCACGGCACAACAAAGTCACTGTGCACCTAAACTAAAATGATCTACTTGATTCATCCTAAGCGCTCCACAGGTGTATTTATGAAACATATCTGCAGATAGGTTTATAGAATCTATATCAAAAGCAGACATCTGGGTAAGGACTCTGCATTACATT